CAGGTGGCAAGGGTCTTACCCCTTGCCACTCGTGCCGTCACGCATTTTCGAGCTTCAGCAAATTCAATTTTTTTCTATCACTGTGAACGACTCTATCGTACTCAGAAAAGACCTTGACTCATTTAGATAAATTGCACTTTCAAGAAAATTTTGAATGAGTGTTTCGAATGAGCAGTTTTTTAGTTAGCTCAATGAAGGCCGGAAATATTTGAGTACAGTAACAGGCTGTTATAGAATGCGATAAAACTGGGCTCTCGTCAGTACATTACTCTTTTATACGCCAAAACATGGTGACGGTACTGTTGTTACAAATAAACGCACATGTGAATATTCACATGGGATCGTTACAAAAACATGTAGGAAAATCTGCATTCCAGACTACTGCTGTAGGTATGCAAACGACATAACTCGATTTTTTTGATGATGGCTAGGTAAACTGCCAACAAGGGACTTATTTGTTGAGAGGCCGTCCATTACTCTCTAGGGAGGGAGAGTCCCGTATTTGCTGAGATTTCGGTGCATCCTAGACAGGGGAGAGCAGAATAAGGTGCATGGAATCTCTGGGAAAGTTTTCAGGGGTTTTGAATTCTGAGATTGTTATAGTATATTATGTAGAATGTGAATTAGATGTTGTATCTCGGACTTGGAAACCCGGACATTGTACGTAGCCATGTCAAATTAGTACTCACAGTCTGATGTTTTCATGTTAGCACTTCAAAACCTCTTTCTCCTTGTGTTAGGGTGAACAACGTTGGAAGAAATCCGCGGCCATCGCTGTGTAGTGTGCGCGAGTAGCGCAGAGAGCACAGACGGCTCGCGCATGGCGAGTGTGAATGTCCGCGCGGGAGAATGTGACTGATCAGGCGAAAATCCTTGACGTGCCGTTGAGGAATCCTCGACCGATATCCACCCTGCCTTCGCTATCTTAGCCAATCAAATCATCGTTCCCGTATCCCACCAGGAGACAAGAATGAGGTGGGGCCAAAACCCCCATTAGACCAGATGTAAATTCAACTCATCCTCATGGTCGGTCTCCAGCGCACCACTGGTCTTCTCGACTGAGATCTCCTCTAACCGAAAAACCGAGTTTTTTTTTTCGAGAGTTCTCAATATCGATTACAAATAGTAAATATCAATATCGATTATATGACAAAAAGGATAAAATGTTTTGTCAGCGGCGGAACGGCCGTGTATGTAAAAAAAAACCGCTTCTATCTAACGATAATTCCGTGGGAACCCTCAAGTTCCACAGGATTAGGAGAGGTGGCAGCCACAGGTCTGACTTTATGTCACACTGTACTGCTTCATCCGACCAACACTCCACCGTGCACGGACAGCTCGCCCTTGCCAATTCGAGTCCACACCGCACTCACTCTCTTGTACAGCATCTGACTCCAATTTAAAATCAGCCCTCCGAAAGGCAAGGCGACTCGAATGATGATGGTGGCACAAGTATTGGGTTGGAGCATAATATCGTAGCGTTTTTTTTCGAGCTACAAATTCAGTGAATACAAGTATTACCCAGGAAATCACATATATCATTTGAAAGTACTTCTTCTGCTCTACAATACCTTGTTTGTATTTTCTTCTATATTGTAAGTGTACTCAGATATGGTGCTTAGAAGTTGGAAAATCAAGGTGGGCGAAAATCTATAGAAAAAGCTGCCAAATAGGAGTTTTACGGAATTCATCCATCTATCGGATCTTATCCACCGACCGCTCAATTCAAATCATGTTCACACGACATACAAACTGAAAAACGTACAAACTGAGAATAATGAGGACTCTAAAAACTGGTTCAGTGCAATTCTTTAAATTTTAAATCCGATAATTTCTCGCGGATGGGAATTGAAGTCGCATATAATGTACGAATAGAAACATGTAAAATGATTTCTGTGTGGCTTTGCCTTGGTTCTGCTTTAGACCATTTTCTGGCCGAATGCGAGCGCTGCGATTATGCTCCAACCCAGTGGAAAAGCTCAAGATGTTGGAGCACGCCGTATGAGTCAGTACAAAAGCTTTATGTCGTACTCCACCATCCTGAGCACCCCGCCTTACCAAGTGAGCCCCCGCAGAACAGAAACGTACATAGACCGATAATCTTTGTATAAAGAGAACCTAGTACCGACCTGTGATTTGGTTGATGAGCAGTCAAACGTGCACTAAGTCGTGGTGCTACCCACCGTCCGTGGCAGACTAGAGGCGCCCTCAGTACCATGCTACACTGAACATTCTGCTCTTTCCGCTCCTAAGCGCTGCTGTTATAGCTGGCCGCCGTGCGTAAAATTTCACAAGCCTTCTGCTTGAGGCCAGCCTTAGAACGCATCTTCCACTAGCGACCCTATGCTATTTTGAAGGACAAATATCGAAGAACACCATGTACAGCTAGAATTTTCGGGTATCGCAAGGCTGCATTGGTTTTGTGCATCGGGACCCCTGTCTGAGGTTGTTCTTTTAGCTCTCTTATAACACGTGCAGTTTGATAGAAGCTTTACAGAAACTTCAGAGAGGGGATATTGTATGGGCGAAGAGGAGGGCTAAAGACCATGGGTCCTGCTGCAGCCACTCCCAAAAATGGGCTTTACTTTGAGGCAGATAAGACGATATTAGACGTAGCTGACAAAAGGTCTGCTTAGTTTACAACACCGGGCGGCTAACCAGTGTTGATGGTCTCACATCGAATGTGGTTGTCCTTGCCCAAGACAAGCGATTTGCATTTTGGTGTTCTATTTTTCCCGGAAAGCACTGGTACCAATCTGGCGATACTAAAATAAAAGTGTAGCTCAAATCCGGCATAATCAGCGAATGTTTTGTTTCTCGAATTGCAAAGTGCGGAAAAGTGCGCCTTCTGCGCGTTGCACTCCATATGCCGCACCCAATCGCAGCCCAGCGTGCTATAAATTTAACAGCACAATGCTGAAAGGGAATGGCTGAAAGGACATTGTTCCACAGATCTCTACGGCATTTTTCACCGCTTCCAACTGAGATCTGGAAGTTGCTGGTCTTCTTGTCTCCCTGCATTTTGCCCTTCTACCTTGGGAAGCTTCAGCAAAGCTCAAGTCGTGTCATTCTAAGTTCTCACAGAGCCATGTGCTTGTACCCCAGAGTCAGGCTCAGAAACGTAACAAGCTCTAGGCTCCCAAGCAAGGTCAGTAGAAGCTAATGGGGGGGGGGACTCGGCAACTAATATGAGTGACTCATATCAGCACCCAAAACCGCTCATGTAAATCACCTACCCAATGCACCACTCAAAAATGCAAATACTATTACAACAACCACATCTATATGACGTTAACTGAATATTAACACTGCCCTCCTTGATTTGTAAACAACGCACAACAACAAAATAGCCCGGATTGCTACTAGCGCTATTTCTCGCTTCTGGGTAGTCTCAAGGACAGGACTGATCTATGGCTGTAAAATAAGAACAGACCGTCAAAGGTTGCCCAGCAAAAATCTTTTATACAAGAATATACAAGCAGATGAGGTAGCAAGGAGGGTTAGGTGGGCTATTCCCCTCGTCGCCTCATATTTGAGCACTTTCGATCGCATTCACTTCCTGAGAGGAATTTCCTTGAATGTTCTAATTTAAGTAAATTAACCGTTTATAATTTGGAACACAGCCAAAATGTACAATCACACGTTGAAAAGCTCAATATCAATAACATGAAAACACCCGCACAACAACAAAACAATTATAGTTATTTGAAACTACAAAGGCAAACAATTTTTGGAATAATTAAAATCTTTTCTTCACATTATCACCACTTATCATTAGATCATACAGTCATAAGTATAGTACAGTTTGCAGAGGATACTATGTAATCAGCCGTATTATTATTGATATTGTGATATCAGATTTTAAATTACGCAAAAAATAAATAGGTATGGGTCAGGAGGCGCAAATAACATGTCCGCGCGCGGTTGTGCGCGCACTGCCACGTTACGCCTCCTGACCCATACCGCAAGGGAAAGGATCAGGTCTGTAGCAATGCACACCCATCAGTTTGGATTATTGCTTGCCGGATTTTGTAAGGATACCGTATATCAAAGGATTCACAATGGGATTCGCACAGATTGCAGCATTCAGGAATGACAGCGTGACTGTGAACACTTGATGCTCGGACAGCGTCCGAGTCATGTTCAGCACGGCCACCACATTGTACGGACTCCAGAATGTCAGATAGGCCAAAATGATCCAAGCCGCTTGTCGTTTCGCATGCTGAAAACAAGTTATCATTAGGGGTAGTACGATAGGGTAACGGCTGTGAAACTATTCAAAAGCTCGAAGCCTTTGTTAGAAATGAAGCATCGGCCGATAAGCTCCTTAAAGGAATCTTCCACGGACCAGTGGGCGGGACCGGAAGTGGTTTTGCGACGAAATGCATGGTAGGTACGGATCCACGTTCATGGGAAGGTTTGAAGTGAATCCTGTTCACGTTCGTGCGTTCGACACGTGGATCCGTACCTACCATGCATTTCGTCACAAAAACTTCCGGTCCCGCCCACTGGTCCATGGTCCGTGTAAGATTGAATGATTGGGCTTTTTGATTTGATGCTGTAGCCTAAGGTAATGCTGAAGCGCATGGTGACCGATTTCGCCGCAGTAGTAAGTTGTAGAAGGGATTCACAAGGGCCCAAGGTCACTTCCTTGGCAACGACTCTTCGCTATTATTATGCCTTGGAATCCACGTCAATGACGACGTCTGCGTCTTGCTCGTCCCTTCGTTCTCTAGTCCCGATCTACCCTCGTCCTGAAGGCCAGAAAGTTAGCACAACTTGAAGAAGGTTTTGAATGAACTTCAAAATTACGGGTCTCAATTGGGGCATTTTTGAAAGCTTTTTCTCGTGTTTTTCTCCTGTAGGCCTTCTAGTGATTAAGATTCAATCTTTCAATGGAACTACGCATGTTTTGCAGTGAAGGAGTGAGCTCCAAAGCCCTGCACGAAACATAACTGCTCTGAAGGCGAGAACAAATGGCTTTTCTTATGAGTAACATTTTGATCTTTTATACTAAATGAACCCGCTGACTTCATAACGATCCTGGCCTTCTTGAAGTCTTTTTCAGCTCAAATGCCTTACTGTATCCTCATCCATTAGGAACAAAAGGTTAAAATGCATACCTGCTTGGCTTTGTGTATTGTAGTGACTGCCATAGAGCCAGGATTATTCGTACATCGAAGCTTACTGGTGGTCTTCATAGGATGGCTTTCAAGAAAGCCTCGTTTTCTAAAAAAAAACCACAATTATTACAATTTGACTGCATGAAGTGAAAAAATGGAGTTTTCATCATATAAAAGCACTGTGGTATAATTGTCCTCAAACGTTTCCCTTTATTGAATGCTACTTCTCGGGAAACCGGGTGAATTGTATTGCTCATTACTCAGCCCTTCTCTAAGAAATGTGATGAGAGTTCTTCACAATCTCGGCACCTTTACAAATACAGCGAATTGGAATTTGGATGACAATACTGGTACACGCGCCTCATTAGGGCGGAAGGGGTAGCGATAAGTGGCACCGCATAGGCCGGGTCACACTTTGCGAGCGAATCGCGAGCGAGTACGAGCGTTGCGTCAGCGAATCAAGCTGTGTACCAGCGGTTCGAACGATGTACCAGCGACTCGACACTGTTTGAAAGTGGCGGACTCAATTTGAAAATTGGCTCTCGCCATTTCCCGGGCTCACGAGGACATGAGAGAGTGAGAGGGCATGAGAGCTCGAGAAAGAAGCGAGAGTCAACGTGCAAACGGGAGGGAATCCCCTCACATAGATTTTTGTGTCAAGGCTAGTACGCGTGCTTGTAAAGCGCGATATCCTAGTTTGGTCCTGATTAAGGTAGCATTTGAAAACAAATCAGAATATTATGAAAATGTTCGCACTACAAATCACAGCAAAAATAGCTGTCAAACAGGACGAATAACACCAGAGTCGTAAGTGTTGTTCTTAGAGTAAACCACTCACCCTTTCAGACTGGACTTTGACGACTCCTCCTCAATTTGGCTTACAGCCGACATTGCAGGAAGTCCATGGTATTCTGAAACACTCACTGAATCAGCAAGCAGTATTACTCGACCAAATACTCTGACTATATCAATTAAAGTGGTTGGAAACGATGACTCAAGTTCAGTTCATCTTCTGACCCTACAGTGATTACGAAAAGGCTTTCAGCACTCATGGCAACTTTCCTAGGGAAAAGCTTAGACTTTTGTCCCGATTTTTGCTGTTTTTCTCATTCTTTTTCCCCATTTTGTATAATCTTCCAACTTGGTACTACGAGGAAAGTCCTGAGCGGATGGAAAGTCCTAGGTTTCTGGTGACATTTTTGATTTCGAAAAATGGAACGCCGGAACAGAATTTTCTGCGTTGTCCACTTCATTATTTGTAGAAGCTCTCTCAAAATTCTTCGATACAAAAACCTGAGCTTTTGCCTTATAAAAGAGAGCCTTCTATAAGAAAGCATTCATTCTTCAAATTTGGTAAATGTTTTCAAAAAATCAAGTACATAACAAAATGTTTACACACCTTCTTTCAAATGTCCCTGCAGTATCAACAGTACTGTGAGATAGCTGATAACGATGATAATGCACGGTATCCAGAAAACGAA